TCTCTCTCTCTCTCTCTCTCTCTCTCTCTCTCTCTCTCTCTCTCTCTCTCTCTCTCTCTCTTGTTACAATAGTTACCTGCTTTTTGAAGCCATACAAATTGTTGTTGCTGTCGAAAAGAACTGGAGTAGAATTTAATCATTGGTTTTATGATTTTATGATTTTTATCTGAGGAAGCCTGACGTTTCTCAAGATGCATGTTTGGTTGGAATTCTCAGAGAAGGGATCACCTTCACGACCTCTTCACGGTGGTAGTCTCCGTCCAAACATTCGTCTTGAGGGTTACACAGTGTTGTGTTCGGTAGATGACATACTAGTCTCAGCGCATGCATGTGTGATTGATGTGCTCAGAGAATGGACGTCAGCACAGTACTCGCAAAATGAGAGATGGTGAGTGCATTTTTTCACAGAAAGTGGGAGACTACATCCGTTGCCACTCGTTGGTACTGGATGTATCTTGCCACCTTTTGCCACCTTTTGTGTGAAGATGCATTTGCAAATTTTGCCTTTTCGTGAGATGTGTGGCAGGCCCGAATGCCTGTGATATATTTTAATCGTTTTCATGATTTGTAGATTTGGAAATGGCTGACTGCAAAAAAAAAAAATAAAAAAAATTGGCTGACTGATACTGACTGACTGACAATCAGTCAGTTCCGCTGCCGATGGGCGGTGTGATTAAATCTTCGACTGAAACTGAGGGGCTCACCACACGACTGTCCAAACGAATACAGTACAGCTGCATGTTTCTGCAAGGAGTGGCAAGATGCATCCATTACAATCAATGGTAATGGATGCATCTGGTCACTTTCTGGGGAAGATGCACTCGTAATCGCTTCAGCGGTGGCTGACCAGGGCATATACTCACACAGCGCTGTGGCGAGGCCCTGAGCAGGTCCCTGGCTGTATATGTTCACCAGTCCCTGGCTGTATATGTTCACCAGTATGACCGGTCCATCCCGAGCGGAGTGACGCTGTGTATACACCCGTACCAATATACAGGCCGTTCGTATGCTCGAATGGCCGTACGAACGGGCCCTACGGCGGTTGTACGGCCCGTACGAAAGGCCCGTACGAGCCAAACAGGAGGCCTTGGGGGGGGGGGGACGCGTCTCAAGCCAGTGGGGGGGTTACGCATGTCGGAGGCTACCCCCCAGGCAAAGGGAAAAAGAAAACTTTTTTTTGGAGGGCGGGGTCGGGAAAAAAAGAAAGGGGAAAAAAAAGATTGGTTGATTGACTGGATTGATTGACTGTAATTAGAGGGGGGGGAAATAAAAATCACGTTCAATTTTTTTTATTTTTTTTTTATTGGTGGGGGGAGGGTCGTGCCCTCCTACCGAGTGCACACACACACACACACACACACACACACACACACACACACACAAGCGCATACACATGCCCGCGCACACACACACACAGACACACGTGCACACACACACGCACACACATGCCCGCGCGCACACACACACACACGCACACACACACGCACACACACGCACACACACGCACACACACGCACGCACACACGCGCACGGAGGCTACCCCCCAGGCAAAGGGAAAAAGAAAACTTTTTTTTGGAGGGCGGGGTCGGGAAAAAAAGAAATGGGAAAAAAAAGATTGGTTGATTGACTGGATTGATTGACTGTAATTAGAGGGGGGGGAAATAAAAATCACGTTCAATTGTTTTTTTTTTTTTTTTTATTGGTGGGGGGAGGGTCGTGCCCTCCTACCGAGTGCACACACACACACACACACACACACACACACACACACAAGCGCATACACATGCCCGCGCACACACACACACAGACACACACGCACACACACACGCACACACATGCCCGCGCGCACACACACACACAC